TATATATATCTCATTTCACAAAAGTTGCTTGAAGGACCTAACTCTGCGAGTGTGCAAGACAAAACAAAGAATCTTTCATGTAACTAGGAAATGATACTGGAAATATCTTTGTACTCGGAAAATCTGTCAGACATGTATTAGTGACAGGCCTGATACATTGAATCTGTATGTATGGAGTTCTGACAGATGATTGAGCTTTTCCTTGTGGAAACAAGAAATATGTCACAATTGTGCTCCTCAGACATACACATTTACCTCTTCCTCCCTTATATCTATTCTTAATGGCTGCCAAGCTTATAGACTCGTCCCCTTCCTCCTCATCATCATAGCGATCAGGCTCCAGATAGTTGGCACTCAGCCCACGCTGGTGCTGCTTTTCCTTGGTTCTGCGCTGTTGAGACTCTCTGCGGATTGAGGCTCTCAATCTTTCTTCTTCTTTCTGCCAATAAAACATTATGATAATGAACTACACTGCAACACAAACCTATAAATTATGTACACAGGGAAAGTGCACCTAAGTTCTGAGGTTCTGCAATCAAATAGCAGACGGCACATGCAAACCTCCTGTTCACATATGGTTAGTATATACAAGAAAGGTTTCAAGGAATTTGTAGTTATTTTCATTTTATATACAGTACTAAAAAAATAAGCATGCAATTATTTTAAATCGAGTACATTTATCAAATCAAATACATATTTATCACTTGCAGCCAGCAGACAGCGTTTAAAGCAAGTCTTAAGCAACAGCGATCTGATTGACACAGAGGAGGGACCAATACTGGGTTAGGGAAAAAGTGTGGGTTAGCACTAGACTTCATGTGAAAGTGGTTCCCTGTGGCTGCTGAGTGAGCCTGTGATTGTATGTATGTATGTATGTATGTATGTATGTATGTATGTATGTATGTATGTATGTATGTATGTATGTATTAGGGCTGCAACAACTAATCGATGATTGAAAAAGTTGTCAACTTTTTCAATCATCGATTAATCGGCTTCCGATTGGTTGGCCCTGTTCACGGCTCCACACCTCCCCACCTTACGCTTGCCGCTGCCAGACCCGCCCGCTCGCATCCACGCTCCGCACCTCCTCCCTCCCTCACCGCCCAAATCCACGATCGCCACAGGGACGCGGGGAGAAGAAATAAGGAGGATCAGGTGTGGGCAGACGACAGCCGCCGATAGACAGGCCCGATCTCAGAAACAAGTTGCTGGAAGACTGCTCAGGTAAGAGATCGTGTACCCATCTCCCTTTGATCTCCTGTCACAGAGCCGTGCCGGTCCCGGTCGCATCGGGCCTCGGGATCTGCAGTGACAGCTGCTGGTAATACAAGCAATCGGGCGTCTCGAGACGCTCGATCGCTTCAGTGTAAAGCTCCCGGCCAGCCGTGTAATTACAACGACTGGCCGGGAAGCTGCTCGTCAGGCTCCGCCACCCTCTCATCACAGACGAGCGGACAAGTGGATTTTTCAAGCCTTGTGTGTATATAATAAACCTTTCTGTGCAATCACATGCAATAACATTTCCAAAAAGTGCAAATGTGTCCTTTACGCAAAACCTATATTCCAAATAGTTCAATGACTTTGAATAAATTGTGTGATAAATCTTCATCCTACCGTGTTTCCCCGAAAATAAGACAGTGTCTTATATTTTTTTTTTCACAAAAAAAGACACTAGGTCTTATTTTCGGGGGTGTCTTATGTGTACCTGGCTGCAGCTGTCCGCTCGTGCGTGCGGATGGGCGTGCGGGAGGGAGGGAGCTGCGGCCACTCTCAGCTGTAATGCCGTCCAGGGAGCCAGACAGGTGGGCGTGCGGGGAGGCGTGCCTGGCGGGGGGGGGGGTACGGAGCTGCGGCCGCTCTCTGCCCTAATGCCGTGTATGGAGCCAGACAGGTGGGCGGGCGGGAGGCGTGCCTGGCGGGGGGGCGGTACGGAGCTGCGGCCGCTCTCTGCCCTAATGCCGTGTATGGAGCCAGAAAGGTGGGCGGGCGGGAGGCGTGCCTGGCGGGGGGGCGGTACGGAGCTGCGGCCGCTCTCTGCCCTAATGCCGTGTATGGAGCCAGAAAGGTGGGCGGGAGGGCGGTACGGAGCTGCGGCCGCTCTCTGCCCTAATGCCGTGTATGGAGCCAGAAAGGTGGGCGGGAGGGCGGTACGGAGCTGCGGCCGCTCTCTGCCCTAATGCCGTGTATGGAGCCAGAAAGGTGGGCGGGAGGGCGGTACGGAGCTGCGGCCGCTCTCTGCCCTAATGCCGTGTATGGAGCCAGAAAGGTGGGCGGCGGGCGGGGAGGGAGGGAGCTGCGGCCGTGACATGTAAAATTCTATTATACCCCGAAAGTAAGACCTAGCGGATCTCTGTAATATAAGACCTACCACCGAACTAGGTCTTATTTTCGGGGTAGGTCTTATATTACAGAAATCCCTGATGATAGCACTAGGTCTTATTTTCGGGGAAACACGGTAGATACCATCGCGCTCCTTATTTCTTTCAAATGCACTCATTAAGAAAAGCATTTATATCATAGGAACTACGAATTCATTCCCTCATTTGCTTTTCCAAATATCATAGGTTGTTAAGATAACTTCAGCCTCCTCTCCTTCCATTCCTCCATAGCTAGCCCGTTTCAAATGACAGCAACATTGCACTTAGATCCACCGGTGCCCACCTCCTCCTCCACTTAGAGATTCTCAGTGTAAAGCTGCGATTTCAACAGGCTGACTGAGCTGCTCTGAGGACTGAGTGTCTGGTATGGACTCTTCTAGCCAAGATCAGTTAACTCACTAAATCTCACTGGATTGACAACTGGTAAAGGATTATCAAGGATCATTGTTCCGACTGCCCCACCACAGTAGTATGTAGCAGAGCACAACGTGGATAAATCTTCACACAGGTTAGAAATTGATTCTGTAGACAGGGACATCTACCTTGGACAGCTGAGTGATGTACTAGGCTGCCAAGGGGCCCTGAAGACTGCATTCAAACATGGCAATGAGCGTTTACAGGAGATTGTTTTTTCAGCCGTAATAAGGTTTAAGCTTTTGTTTTTATATTAATGGAAAGCTAGGTACTAGGAGAAGTAAATGGTTGTTTAGCCTTTATAAAATCTTGTGATGGTTGTAAGGCGTATGGGCACCTTTAGTGAAAAAACCTTTGTTAGTTAAACAGCTTAATAGCTGGAGCTCAGATTACAAACACAGCTGAATGAATTAGGGAAGTGACTCGTGATCTTTGCCTTCTAATGTTATGCTGCTGTGCATAGCCCTGTACAGATTTTCAGTTAGAGACCACTAAAAGAAAAGCTAATAAAAACACATCCCTTAGTTCATAAGACTTGCAACCTAAATGACATTTTCCCCAAACCATTATAGTTTCTCTTTAGTGGAACACAAGCTAACCCTATATGTCAACAGATGTTCTCTATTACCTTAATCATTTCATTTCTTTGAGACTCAGGGTCACGTCCTGCCATTGGAAGTATCCTGATCTTCTGAGTCTTAGAGCACCTGTCTGCCAAAGACAGCGTCATCTTCCTGTGAGTGGCGCTGTCTGTTGAATGAGGCCTAAAAAAAAACGAAAAATGTGATCATGCAGACAATGCTTGAATTCCGTACGATAATTCTAAAAGTCACTAAGTAGACCGGTATATTGTAACAGATCTAGACAGTAAATGAATGGCCTAAATTACCAGCTTAAAACCCATTTCCACCTTTGCAGAGGTATTAAAAAAAACAAACCCATATGCCAGCTTCCTCAATTCCTCATGAAAACAGTGCTCTGTGCTCTGCAAGCAATCTGTGTATATTACAACTGACCTTTCTACCCCCATTCATTAGTATTAATAGTGGCAACCCACCCTGGACAGTGTATTGTGTGCAAAGGCAGAGCTGGTGTTTAGTGATCGTGTTACACAGAATCACAGGGAGGGGGCAGGTGTTTCCAGCCTGCTTTACAAGGTGTCCCCAGCGTCAGACTGGGTTTCCTGTGGGGAAAATGTTGAATTTGTAGGATTTAGGCCTAATAAAAACTTCATAAAAAATGAAGAAAGCCTGCAATGCGAGTCATGATAATATGCACACATATACATCATCACAGCACCTCTACATTACCACAATAGATGCTAATCACTTACAAGGTGGAAATGGACTTTAAAGGGAATGTATAGTGCTTTACTATATTTCCTATAGTTAAATATGAAATATTCATAAATCTTTCATTTTCTGCTCCTTCAGAGATAACCGACAGCGAGTAAGTCTGGAGCTCCAGGATTTCAGATAGCTGGTTTACTACTATACTGTACAGACCTGACTAGCAGAATCACATATTACAAATACACAGCTGCATTACACTTCCCTTCCTGCTTGTCTCTAGATAGAGATGGTGCTATATAGACAGTCAGCCTAAAGGAGCAGCCAGAAAGTGCAGAGCTAGTGCTAGGCTTTCTTATCAGAGCAAACTATGCACTTACTGTAGCACAAACACGCCTTGTATTAAACGTTTATTTGTTAAATAAGGATTTTATATAAAATATCAGTTTAAAATTGTTCGAAAGACAATACAAATTAAATGTGACCAAGAACCACTATAGCTTTCCTTCTCCATCACTGGAAGTACCTTTATTTATTACTGAACACCTGATTTTACACACACACACACACACACACACACACACACTTTTCCAAAGTTTTTAAAGACACACCAACCTGAATGTAAGCTTGGTCTTGAATACAGCCTGACCTTGCAAACCTGTTCCTTGTCTGATAAACAGATGGTTGTGGTCCCCTTGCAGTGGAGCTTTGTATACATCAAAAACTTCATTTCCCAAATGTAAGGACATGCTGCCAGAACCAAAACAGATATTTATTACACAAAGATTTACATAAGAGCTACATATACTGTATGATTACAGAACCGAAGGGCATGAACACAAGTGGTTCACTATTTTACTGTTCATCTGAAAAGACAACTACAATCTAGTGACAGAAAGATTACAGATGAAGCAGTGGATAAGAGAAGAAAAGGAAAGTTTAGTCCAACCCAAAGCTTACCTGCCATCAGACCATTTAACAATCCGGGCATTACTCTCCCTGACATCAATCCCTTCTTCATCCCGTCGTGTTCTCCATCGGATTGTGTTTTCAACCTATTCAAAAAAAAGGACAAAATCAGTTTTTACATTGATGATCCAGTAAATCCCCGCTCCTACCCTAATATGACAATAAACAAAATAAAATAAACAGCTATTAGTGGTACAAATCACTAATAACATATTTCTTGCCAAGTGCACTGCGATCACCCAGTAATGAAGTATCCTCCACTCACATATATTAGTATACAAAGCAATGTACAAAGACAAAAATAAAAAAAATCAAACAGGTTATATATACAGTGTGTGATAGTCCAATACCCACCAGCTTCTCCTCCAAATACAGACTAGAATGTGCTCCCCAAACTGTGAATGCAATCCATCACTGTGAACTTCATAAAATAGCTCTGTGCACTTGCAGTGGGTTCGATACTACTTAGTGTCTTCACACCATATTCCACACCACAATCACCATATATACTAAATGGTCAATAGCATTCAGTCATATTTCTGCAACCATGCACCTCACTCCAGGTCAGCAGTGGGGGTTTTTTTACAGGCTGAGTAAACTTTAGTATTTGGTGAGACAGTGACAATGGAAGGTGCAGCACCACCATAGCCACATGCTATATAATGTGATTGGTTCAAAGCACAGTAGTGCTGGGGCATTTCATGTAGCAAAATACATACTACTGCCAAGCGGTTCAACATGTAACATAAAATTCATGACTGAGTCCATGACAGAAGAGTGACATTACAGAATAAAATAAAGGAAAAGATGTAATCCAAGGGGATTTTTACACTGAATGCTGCACAAACAAGAGGACCTCAGGCTGTCTATAACTGCGTTAGGCATTAAACCATGAGATTTTATGACTTCATGGCAAAATGTTCCGTTAGTCTTACCGGTAACGGTATTTCTAGGAATCTTCCAGGACAGCAACCTGAGAGATGATTGGTTCCACCTTCTACAGGAAACACAATTAGCAAAACAGTTAAAAGCCCCTCCCCTTCCCCTCGTACCTCAGTTGTGATAAAAGTAGACTACCACCTCAGTAAACGAGGGGACAATGTGGGAACGAATAACCCAGGCTGAAGTTCCAGTCCTGTGCCAGCGCATCCACTCCCCTGGAGCCCTGTTCCCTGCCCAAGGAGAAGAACTCCTGAGTCTTTCGTTTCCCCTGGTCGCAAATAAATCTATCTCTGGTTGACTCCTCAAGGCCAACCGGTCAGGAAGAAAAAGAACAAACGTGACGTGGTCCTGGACGGTAGGAAACACAATCTAAACTGAGGTACGAGGGGAAGGGGAGGGGCTTTTAACTGTTTTGCTAATTGTGTTTCCTGTAGAAGGTGGAACCAATCATCTCTCAGGTTGCTGTCCTGGAAGATGATTAGGGAAAGATAGGGCTTAGAAACAAACTACTGTCTGGTACAAAAAAAAAAGAGACAGTAGTTGGATCCTAAGCCCTTCTTTGTGTGGTGTTTATTTATTTACAAGGGTTGGATTGCACATTGCTTAATTATATATTGTTTGTTTCATTTTCTATCCACTGGGTAGGGTGCATTATTTTTCTGAGCATGCCAGAAAAAACCCGTCGAACGTGTCCTTGAAATGCAAGTGCACCTTGCTTGAAAGCGGTTTATTGTGTTTAAATGTCAGCATTTTATTCCCTGGATGTGGCCTTCTTATCTTCATGGTCTCCCACCATGTGCAACCTGAGTTTTCAGAGCCATCAATGGACAGGTACAATAGCTGCAGTAACTTGACATCGTTGATGCTTTATATAAAGCTAGATCAAGGAAAAAGGCAGCAAATGCTGCCCATGGAAAACAGATTCCTTATGTAATTCCTTGTAGTCACTTACAACAAGATCTAAATGATGTCCCAGCTTTCCAGAAATCAGCAAAGTCTGCATTACCTTCTTCTAAGATATAAAACCAGACATACCTTTAATTTCAGCCTAGTTCTACCTTCTTCATCTAACATCTCTTCATCTTCAAATTCATCTTCATAATATTGTGGGTCAAAGGGTCTACAATGTAAAATGGTTTCGGTTACACTGTAGTAAGGGGGAAAAGTCTAAACTTTCTAAATTAAGAATTAAAATACAGGAAGAGAAGGAACAATTGCCGCAGGGACCCATAGTCCCGCATAAGCAGTACAAAACATAGTACACTGGGCAATACTTTACCTGGGCTCAACACTGAGAAAGTTGGGAAGCTTGACAAAATACAAGTCATTCCCGAGATCTGTGTTCACTTTGGGGATCTCTACTTCTATTCTGGTTTCAGGAACAGGATCTTCCTCTGGCCGGTCATGATCTAGTCCATCCTCATCCTGGAAGCATTATACAAACAATGAGCAATTATTAACAAAAGACGGTCAATTGGAAGCATAGAAAAGTAAACTGAAATCCAAATCCAAATCCCCTTGGTAAGCAGAAAACGGCACAGGAATTCATATTTCACGATTTCTATGGAACAATTACCGCATCTCCAGCGTAAACTATGTTTTTTGACATAGTTCTCTTTAGGGTCACAGGAGGACATATACTAATGTCATCCCGTGACCCAAAACTCTGCATATAGCGGGCTACTGGAACGGACCCCAACAATATTGTCAGGATCCACCCCGCTGCCTGATTGACAGCTGGTTCTACCTCTTTAAAGCTAGCTGTGCCCACCCACTCCCACATCCATTCCTCCAGTCAGTGCTGGAGGAATGGAGAGGGGAGGGATGAATCCCTGCAGGGAGTGGTGACTACAGGGAGAAGATGGGGAACTGAGCGATCAGCGGTCTGTGATTGCTCAGTTCCCGATCAATAGAGCAGACGTGGGATAGCTGCAGTGTCACACGTTGGCTCTAATTATGGGGATTAGTGTATTTTACAATCCCTCACAATTCTCATTTGAACGGGCCATAGTGGAGAATATATTTAACCACTTGCTGTCTGGATACATTTTTTAATTTTTGCACACACACGATAAAATCTGAATTTTTGGCTAGAAAACAACTTTATACCCCCAAACAATTATATGGCACTATAGAATAAAAAAATAAAAAATAAAATTAAAAAAAGGTAGTTATTATTATTATACAGGATTTATATAGTGCCAATAGTTTGCACAGCGCTTTACAATATAAGGAAGACATTACAGTCACAATACAATTTAAGACAAGATGGTAAGGAGGGCCCTGCCTGTGAGTTGCAATTTTTTATGTTGCATGATATTTGCGCAAATGTTTATCAACCTAATATTTTTAGGATAAAATACACTAAAATTAATTTTAGCGCACAGAAACAGAATACCCTTTTTTCGATAAAATATAAAAGGGGTTACATCAAGTAAATAGATAGCAAATATGTCAAGCATTTCAATTGAGTGTGCCTGTGCAATGGTGAAAAATTATGGTACTCAAAACGCTCCATAGGCGACATTTTAATAGCGTTTACTGCTAATCGGCTAAGAGTGAACAGCAAATTATGAACCTAGAATTATTGCTCTCACTCGGACGTTCGTGGCGATACCTAACAAGTATGGTGTAATCTTTGTTTACGTACACGTGCATGCCCTGTGTGCATGTTTTCATGTACATGCAGATGGCGGGGTTGGTTTTAATTTTCTTTTTATCACTTATTTTTTTCACTTTATTGCTATCACACAGGGACTAACAAGCCCCTGTGATAACATTTGGAGGTGACATGTTCTCTTTATGCATTAAGAAATGTCACCAGCACAACAAAGTCCTTTAAGGATCACCAAGTGTTCAATTATTCAGAAACATGTCACGAGATGGTTCTGAATGGTGTGCTGGTGACATTTCCTAACGATTATTGATGGCGCCATCCGCAGTCACTGCAAACAAGCACCGCCCCCAATAATTGGGACATCCGGTAAGAAGTGTGACAAGGCAGGGTCTATTAGACCTCAGAAGTCTCCCCTGGCCTCTAATACAGGAAACTGAACGAAGCATTATGCTCAATCCCGTGTAACCGGAATTTCAGCCGGGCTTATGACAGCTGTGAGCAGGAAGCTCTGAGAGCACAGTGATCCCTGACTCAATGATTGCAGCAACAGCCATGATCTTGGTATAAGCCACTTCAGGACCAGGACGTTTATATACATCCATTGGTTGTGAAGCCGTTAATGTAATAACCTACTGCTAGGAATGAGTGACATAGAGCTGCACAATACAAAAGCTTGTGTATATGGGTGATGGAGCAAGGAATAAACTCAGAGGTAAATGACAGCTGTTGATAGTTCATGTTAGTGTTAGTATAATACACATCTTAAAAGGATTGTCATAGCATGTATGGTCACTAAATAATAGCCTTGACTGGTACAGCCCTCAAATGCTGGTTATGAGCAAATAAAGGATGCTTGTAAATACTTACCATGGGCTGTCCAGGTGTGGGAGGCTTTTCTCCATCACTGCTTGAAGAAATGTCATCCGCATCACCAAAAAGATCAGCAGAATGTTTTTTCTCCCCTAATATAACAGAACATTAACTGATAAAAGTTAAAACGATCTACAACTGTGTAAGGGCCTGTTTCAACTGGCTTTTGTTCCATGTCAGAACTGAATCCTCCACCCACCCCCCACCCCAAAAAAAGTACGTAAATGTAAAAGTCACTTGAAGCAGGTTAATGCAGATCAAATGCTCCTCTCTCTCTCTTCATTACTCTGAATGATATCACAAGCATCTCATAACCCACTGCCCGGCTTCCTGTTTGCAAAGGAAGCCAGCTCCAACGGCACTTGCGGTCAGAGAGAGATCTCCCACTGGCCAAAAGTTCCGGTATCGGAAGGAAGTATCGGAGTACCCGCCCAAACACTCGGTATCGGCACCGATACTAGTATCGGTGCATCCTTAGTTTAGACACCTGATATTTCCCTAGAGCCACCCGACAGGAAAGGTAAGAAAATAAAAAAACATAATGATAAAATATATTTAAAAATAAATAAAAAAAATTAGAAAAAAATAATAATTTTCAGTCTGAAAAGTT